CGCGCTGGGACGAAGTACTATGGTACTACACGAGTAGTCGATGAATGAGCAACACACGTTTTTCTCATACATACTTCGAATGTATGAGAAATCTCGGTTGACGAGAGAAACTCGTTGACACACGCAGCAGCTATCATGCGGTGCGAATGTGGCCACTGGTTGTCGTATACGCCCGCCTTCACGGCGGCCACCACGATGCTATCTATAGTCGGTTAAGTACACCATCGCAGCCTTCTCTATTAATCCCTGAACGCTGGAAATCGTCGCGGTCTGCACCGTCGCCGGCATGTTTGCGTTGAGGGGACGGTGCCAAAGTTGTCAATATCACTCATCGTGATTGTGCCGTAGACGGTGAGTTGAGTAGTAGAATGAAAAGCCGGTCTTTTGCATCTAAATAAGCTCGGAGCAGCGGGAACATCGTGGCACTTGCGCAAACGCCGTCCACGCCGTGCCATTCCACTCCGTTATGTCGGATTGTTATTCGTGGCGAGCCTGTGCATCACGCGGTTCTTTATCACTTGGACGGATTTGCTGTGGTGGCCATAGTGTTGGTCAGCGTCTTGTACGACCACGTGACCGCATCGGTCGAGTTAGCAAACTGACCCTAGAGTATTGAGCGCGAGAGCACGATTACTTCTACGAACCATTAAATGTAGTACATTAGAGCCTTAAGTTGATGCTCCTAGCAGCCAGAGGTGCAAGCATGCAGCTGGTTACTACTACGTAGTGTTAATATCCCGCTACTGATGCCAAGCAACTTGGCAAAACTTCATGCGGACGAGTCGGCCAGGTTATATGATGGAAAATGGAATCCATCATTCTGACGACCAGACAGTCTGGCAGACTGACCGTCAAGAACTTCTCGAATTGTGGTATCCAGTCACCGCAGTCCAGAGACACTGCCAGTGTGTCCAACAACAAAAAATCGTAGAGGTACTAATGGGTTGTCCGTCAACATGGCGGCTGAATTAGAATGTAAAGTTCCAACTACACTATGATTCGGTTATTAATAAGAAGAAGAGCGCTGACCGTGTACATACTCAGAAGGAAACGCTGTAAGAGTCTGGTACGAGAGCATACGCACTTTTTGGTGAACGGTAGACATAATTTGACACGACCAAACACTTATGCCTCGAACTGACCGCTGGCATACACTTTTCTGACCACTAGCAAACACTTAAAGAAAGGACGTGGGATTTCACCTCTTTTACGTACGTCTGCACTTTCCGCGCGGAACCTGCACAAAACGGGCGAAACGCTCATAATTACCTGACTTTGTCAATTAATTCTGAACCGCTGGTTCACGTTTACCTGACTTTGTCAATTAATTGAACCGCCCGTTCATAATTACCGCTCCACAGTTCAGTGCAACCATTGAACATAATAATGCTAACCACCAAATCGATAGAAAAGGTATTAAATTTGCATGGAAAAACGTTTGGTGCTAAGCACAATTTTTATTTGTCCTAAAGAACACATTTGTAGGGATATAAAAAACTTAAGCCCGCTTACGCTGAATTTGTCTCTACTACTCCGTCTGGCGAATAATTCTGAGCCTCAGCCTTAAGGGTCAGATACTCTCCTACCTGACCACCACCCAAACGTCTGCACGATGCCCCCCCAAACTCTTCTGGACCAAGCGTGTCGAGCTGCATGTCGAGTCCGACTTCGTCAAGTATCGATGGGATCATTTTTGCTGCTCGAGCATTTTTTCAGTGAGAACAAAATGGTGCAGCATTTGCGCAGGCGACCACGAAATGGTCGAGCGCCGCCTGCAATGTAAGAGCCCGACTTGCGGAGGATCGGGGTTGCCGAAGAAGTGTGCAGTGCAATGGAAAGTTCAACACTGCGAAGTCTCGTCGACGTGGGTCGTTCTCGATAACACTGAGAGGCATTCACGAGGCGATACGCCGTGTGCTGTAGGACCACGCCCACGCGTTACTCCTGAAATGCGGGAAGTACATCAAACGCATGGATGAGAGTGCAGTACCACCACGCTTAATATGGAGTAATCTTCTGCGAGCACCGGAGATTCCTTCCCCAGCGCTAGGATTTCCATCG